GATGACCTCAGCGAGGCAGCGCCAGATGTTTGGCACCTCTGCCTCAATGTAGACAGCCGTCTCCACTATGTCCTGCAGCCCTTTCACGATCTGCTCCGCTGGCAGGACTCCTGCTTCATGCAGCCGCCGCAGCAACAGGCCCATCTTCCTCCGAGAGTCACTGCTGCTCTCAAACGTGAAGTCCACAGCAGAGCAGACAAACACATGGAGGAGTGAGGGGCTCATTTGCTCTGCCACACAGCTCATGGCTTCTTCTAAGTTGCCATTTGTAAGAAAATTGACAATTACCATCTCTGAAAAGGTTTCACTGTCGCACGCAACAGGCCTATAGTCAGTGGGCTTCCTTGGTCGTGGCATTAGGTGGAACTTTTCCTTCTCTTGGGGAGTGGAGACTGATGCTTTATCCTCTGTCTTAGGAACTCTGCCGCCAGTCAGCCCGAGGAATTTTCTCTTGGGGTCTGTTGCTGTCTTCAGCATCAGAGAAATCCTGGAGGATGTCTTTTCATCCTTGGCAATAACATCCATCTGGTCATAGTGTGTGTTCATGACCTTCTCGGGAGTTACTGTCTCCAGATTCATGCCGATAATCTGGAGGAGCTCACACAGGCACTCAAGAGACTGTTCATCTTGGTTCTTCAGGAGACCCTCGATGCAGCTGTGCATTGCAGCCTCGCTCAAAATGCGAGCGAGAAAGAGCTCCCCGATAAATTGGATTGTACCAATGGAGCGACGAAGTGAGGCGTCATCCAGCTCTTTCTTCATCTGCTCCAATCCCCTCTCACTCTTCTCATCAGTGTTACCTTTGCCAAAGATGTCTTCGTACTCTGCGCGGCAGCGTCTGGCGAGCAAAACAGTGAAGTTGACAGAAGCTGTTGAGTCAACTGTGGGTTGGAACTGGACCTGAGGAGAAGAAAACATAAGAAAAACTTGTTAAGGCTAATTCAACTCACATGTGGTGGAAAACATTGTTGTTTGTATTTTAATATATACAGTGTAAGACGATTGCATTGTCATAGATGCGTGACCTACCTTTGGGAGGCTGCTGCACATCCTGGCATAGAGCTTTGCAGAGTCACCCATWACGGCACTCTCAAAGAGGAGGTTGACGACTTCTTGCAATTCCTCCACTGTGTTCAGCCACAGTTTCTTCAGCTGYCCCACTGAGGAGTGGAACGTTTCAGGAGTCAGGCTGCTCAGGATACTTTTAACAGCCCTGATGAGCTCCTTGTTCTTGAGCTGCTCATCTACCTCAGAGGGACATCCAAAAGTGGCCTTAACAGGCTTGATTTGASTCTGTCCGCCCTTCTTGCTCYTGAGGTTAGATGAAGCCATGGCGCTCTCCTTCCTTGAGGAGACTGAGGGCTTCACAAAAACCCTAGGATCCCTTTGGCGGATACTTCCCTTCACTGTGTGGGACAGAGGAAACTTCTTGGTGGAATCTGCCATGTTTTTTATTTCTTTTAAGATCTTTTTGTTTGTGTAGAATTAAGTAAATGCTAACAACAAGCTGCGTCGAGAATACAAGTTAAACTGAGCAAGATGTGTGTTGAGTARACAAAGTGAACCAAGCCAAGTGAGCCACATAGACCAAGTGAGGTGTGAGCATTGATGTAAAGAGATGACATCAAAGTCATAGTCATGCCAAGCTCTCTGGTAATTCTTTATCTTTGATGCTATGATGTGACCCAAAACGATGTGCGGGGGGGCTGAGTGTGTGTGTGTGTGGGGGGGGTTATAAAACATATTTTCCAAAAATTCTAAATGATGTTTTTAAATAATCATAACATTTAAAAATGTATATTGTGGGTGTAGTTTACTTTAATATAAAKGCTTAGCTGCCAGTGTTAAGTTTCCTTCAGCTGCTGGTTGTGAGCGTCTCTAAATCAATAAATACATTAAAAACAATATTACTCACATTTAAAGACCAGTTCAAAGGTCTTAAAATGTGAGTAATACTCAATAATACGTACAGGAGTAATCAGCAGACTAAATTATTGTATGATCACTCTGTCTTCATTACTTCATTATTACATGAACATCTGGAGTCATTACTACATTATGACATCATTACTACAACACTATAGTCAAACGTTTGGTATTTGAAGCATTTTTATTTGTTACTTATAAACAGTTCACTCTCTTTTATTATTTATAAACGTCATTTCTAACTATCTAACCCCCCTTTTTTATTCTTGATGTAGTTTTTACTACACACTTTTATCATATTATATGGATTTTTCATTTAGTTTGTTTCACCTGAATTTTACGACATGAATAAGTCCCAAATTGTTTTTATTTTTTATTTCTTTATTTTTACTGCTTTTGAACACCAAGTGGAATACTTTTTAATGGTAGAACAGGTAACTTGGSTTCCACATAAACTTCTTACTTCCACAAGTATAAAGCGAGGAAGACAGTGCAGACGAGCATTAGACTTAAGATTATGACACAACAGACCATGAGGAAAGTAGTCATGGTGTTCTCTCCACAGCAGCACCCTGTCTTCAACACAATAGTAGGTGCTTGCACTTGTCCCATCAGATGTTGTCCAGCCTCATGGGGGG